ATTGACCTGGCCTCCTTTGTAGACTTCTTATGCGACGCTTTTGCCGCCGAGCTGCCGAGGGACTTTGCCGGGGAGAGACGATTCTTGTGCGGGGAAATTAGTCTTTCCCCGGAAAAGTCCCTCGGCGGCAAAACCGTCCCCTAGGCATATATAACTGGCGTCCCTCCTCGAAAACAAATCAACATCGCCGCATCAGAAATCTGCGAAGGAGGCTGGCTTTGACCATTGTATCCAACGGGGCTAACGGACACTTTGGTCAAATATGGATACTATCTTGTCATCGAAGGATCTTTTGGAGATCATTAGTCACTGGATGTCTGCATGTATCTATAATAAAACAAAAAGATATCTAATAAAAGTAAGACTTTGTTAGAATATTATGAAAATATAGAGGAAACACACAAACTTAAAAGCCGGGTAACGTTGATGGAATGCAGTATATCAATGATGTGTGATCGACGCAACACGCACAGCACACACTTCTGGTACCGGTTTGTCGACACCGTCAGATGTTAACGTGAAAGTACAACAGATACAGTATAAAAACACAATTGTTCTGAACTGAGACCACCACACCCACCATACACAAAAGAACAGTCAATCTACAGCTATTACATCCCCCAAATAACATTGGTGGTGTTACCATAGATATGATCAAGAACAACAGATGTGTATTCATTGGAACAAGACAGGCTGTGACAGTTGGAAAATATGACTGATTGCCGAATAATCATTGTTGACAGATACAGTAATTAAAGTACATTATCATATAGCCGGGTGACGTTGACCAATCACAAGGCTCCATTCCACATTCCTTATGTCGCCGTAATGTCACAAATAGAGTCAAAATCGGGTATTTATTCATCCCAATCCATACATTAAACAAAATGAATAATCACCCGCATATGACCTCAGGTGACCCAATAGAACACGGCTCTACTTCTAAAAAATCCAAAAATAACTTGAGTTGTGTTCCAATGACTCCCATAAGAACACCTGTTCCCTGCCTGTGACCCAGATAGAAGGCCATAGAACATGAACCCCCCAGTGACCTCAGCTGACTCCAGATGGAACAAATATTCTATGTTCTATTCAGCATGTGCAAGGGGTAAATTGTACATTGTGTGTCACTGCATCAGTTTGGATAGGCTATC